ACCCCGCCCGGGGGTCGTGGGCCCCCCAGCCGTGCAGGCGGTAGCCATTCCTGATGCGTCACCACATGTTGTTTGCTGTGCCTTTAAAGTAGCTTTGAAAACGGAGTCACCAATAAATCTCTATCGCAGAATTTAAAGGCTCGTGGTCCTCTTTGGGAATAATGATGTTCGTCTAGGAGAGTTTGGGATGATTCAGTCAAGTCTTATTTGAAAAGATAGAACTAGATTTTCTTAAGAGAGAGTAGAGAGTTAGGGAAAACAAAACAAAGAAAAGTAAGAACCCGAGGTTAGGAAGGTGTGGGTAAGACACTGGCCAGGTACCGGGTGGGAATCATTGCTCAACTTGGGGGAATGATATCTCTAGGCTGTTATTTTAGACCCACTCGAGTGGCTCTTCTGAGATTTACCTACGGGCTGGGCAGGATATGGTTGACTGTGACAAAGACGTGGCTTCCAGGGAACGCACCCACACAAGGAAAGAGCTGAAAGACTTGGCCTTCGTTTAGAGAAATGTTCCCGCTCCTTTGTCGGCTCTCAGTCTTCATCTGTGAAGGAGTGCACACAACGCCAAGACAAAGGGAATCCGATTCTGACCAGTGCTGCTTCGAAACTCAGTACCTACGACGGTGAGGCATAGCACATAGCTCCAACGCTGCATTCTCTCAGGGCGGCACGTCCACGCGTGTACACGCTGCAGAAATCGAAGGGTGGACACCGAAGGAAAAGCACCGATGGAAAGGAAATGCAGCTAGGAGAGTCACCATGCCTCGCTTCTTTCTACCTCTGATGTGACCTACAGTTTAGGAGAAAAATAGAGATGTCTTTGAACTATTTGAGAACCAGCCAATGAAAATAAGAGCAAGCTACCTGGTAAACAATAAACAGGTACTGTATTTGTTTCCCTTCTCCCAAAATCTATGAAGAAGTTTCGATTTTGACTCTGGTCCCTGCATGCCAGACTGGCTTGCGAGGCTCATCCCAAGCTTCTTTCTCAACCTTCTTCATTCATGTATTCAGCATTGTCTGAGGACTCGCGGTGTGCTGGCCCAGCCCAGCAAGACAGGGTGAGCGAGGCTCGGTCCGTGGCATCGAGGACTCACGTTCTGCAGGGTGAGGTGGACAGGTGTGCTGCAGCGTGCATGGGGTGTTTGGGGACACAGGACAGCTCCCCTGGGACACAGAGAGGCAGCGGGGCCAGGGTGTTTTCGGTCCAAGCAGGAGCGATGCCAATGAAAGGACAAAGGTGATGGGGAGAATGCTGGAGGCAGTAGGGACTCCCTGAGGGACGCTAAGAGATTCAGGCCAAAGACAGAGCTGTTGGCACTCGGATTTGGTCGTTGTTTGAAGTATATGTGCTTCGAAAAAGCACACCATAGTCCATATGTTCAGACAACTATTATATGTAAAACAGAAATTATAATAAAAACATTGTAAAGGCATAGCATAGGAGGTTTTTGTCCTTACTCCTCTTTAAAAGTTTCCATTCCTCTGGTGTGAGTTGTTGGAGAATAAGATAGAAAAACTGAAAACAAGCAGTGGTCAGTGACAGGAGGCCCGCCTTGGCCTGA